GCGTGCACTATAGTTTTGGTCCAGCTTCCTAAAATTTCATGAAAATTCTAGCTGAGATGAACTAAATGTGATCATGCATGAGAAAGCATTTGTAAACTGCAAAGTGCTAGAAATGACTTCAGATCCCTTCTCTGCCTCCTCTGCCTCCCTCTGCTGTTAGTCTCACTAGCATTTCCCAAAGTGTTCTCAAAACCTTGGTCACTCAACCCACCTTCACAAAGGAGGCTGTGAGGGTTCTACTGCTAGAAAGTGCAGCCACGTGTCCCTATTGGAGATTGGAAATTTACAACATAACACTAGCATTTTATTTTTTTTTTAAGATTTATTTATTTGAGAGAGGGAGGAGGGAGGTCTTCCATCCACTGGTTCATTCCCCAAGTGGCCACAATGGCCAAAGTTGAGCCAATCAGGAATAGGAGCTTCTTCCAGGTCTCCCACATGGGTGCAGGGGCCCAAGCACTTGGACCATCTTCCACTGCTTTCCCAGGCCATACCAGAGAGCTGAATTGAAAGAGGGGCAGCCAGGACTTGAACCAGCACCCAGATGGGATGCCAACACTGCTGGTGACGGCTTTACCTGCTATGCCATGGCGCCAGCCCCGACACTAGCATTTAAAAGGCTACGAAAAGACAGCCCTTTATCTAACCCAGGGTGTGAAACTGATTTTTTTCAACAGTGAAATTAGATTTTAAGCTTTTAAAAATGAAGTAAATCTTGTTTTCTGATGAGGAAGAATGTGCACTGGGAAGAGCTAGTGTCTGCTCTGCCACCTTCAAGCCCTGTTGCTTCCAAACTCCAATCCCATATTCCCTGTGATGAGCAGACATTGCCTAGGTCTCCCACATATGCACCTTGAACTTAGGCCAAACGAAGTTTCCCATTTCCTTTCTCCAGCCTCCCAAACCCGACAGCACCGCCTCCATTTTGTAACTCGGTGAGCAGCATAACTCCCTGCCCTAGTCCCTTGGGTTGGAAACCTCAGTCATCTGATTTCTATTATCCCCTTCACTGCCCTCCCGCCCCAGCCCATACACTTGGCTAGTCCTATAAATTCTGTCTGTAATGGCTCTCAGACCCGTTTTCTCTTTACATTTTTTGTTTTCACACCCCTGATAGAGACCCTCATCCCCTTTCATGTGGGACTTTGCATGTATCCTCAACACTCTCCCCAGGATTTTCTTTCTGAAACAAAAAACCCGATTGCCACTCTGCTGCTTAACAGCTTTCAAAGGCTCTCTCACCTGTAGAATAAAATGAAAGCACTTTGCTTTTTAGCTACCCTGCACACACGTTGTTCTCCTGACAGAATGGTACTTAGACCTTACAGTCCAATTCAGAAAACTTACTTCCTTCCCCAAGCCTAACTCACTTCCTAATCAGAATTAATGGTTCCTTCTGTGAATAACCCTAAATGATTTTTAGCCTGTTACATTGGTGGTGGTGTTCAGGTGTGTTTCTTTTTGCACTGAAAGGCTGTAAGCTCTGTGAGGACAGGAACTGTCTTAATTGTGTACGCCTAGCACCCCACACAAGTGCTGGGAATGTAGCTGCAATCAATCAATGTTTGTGAATTGAACTGCAGATCACAGCATTGTAGTATAAATCACTTTGTGGCCTGTGATTGATCACTACTGCAAATACTAAAAATGGAAAAATAAGCACCTTCAGTATCCAGTAGAATAGGTTTATGGTTAAATCAATAGCACTGTATAGCATGATGTGTGTTGGTGTGCTTGTCCAGATATTTGTAAATTTGATGGTGACCAGGATGTGTGTGGCTATGGAAGAAAACCACACGTAATACATGTGTGAGGTTTGAAATTGGCTCTGTTGTCTGGGGCCATCTGTGCCTTGCTGGAGTGGCCCATGGCATGATCAGGCTGATTACTTTAGCTATCTGCACACTTTCAGCCAAGCAGCAAACGGTCTTTTGTTGACATATGAAATAACTGGTTCACAATCCATTCATTTCTTATATGTAGACTCTACCTAGAGTGCACAGTTAACTGGAAACCGAGGAATTGGAGCCAAGGTTAGAGAATGAGTCAAGTTTGAACTGTCAGGAAGCAGGTAGTTACATGAATGTCAATTATTTTTAAAGGCAGTGTCCTTTTGTGCTCAGGAAATTAAAACATACACCCAACCATTAAGTAAGTTTGTAGAATGTGTCTAGATTGCCATGTTTTCTCATTTATTTTCATCAGTAATTCATGATATCAAGAACACATAAATGATTCACTGCAGTTGGCTATGGTTAAAAAAAAGTTGAGGTTCTCTGAGCCATTGTGTCGATGTATTTCCTGGTTATACTGCCTTCGGTAAAAATGGTTAAGACCCAACCGTCCCTTCCATCCAGAAATATTATTTTATTTATTTAAGAGGCTGAGAGACAGAAGCAGAGAAAGAGCACTCCATCCACCAGTTGACTCCCCAAATGCTCACAACAGTCAGGGATGGAATGAGACCAAAACCAGGAACCAGGTCAGAGTTCAGGTGTGCCATTTGGGTGGTGGAACCTAGTTACTTGAGCCATCACTGCTGCCTCCCAGTGTCTGCATTGGCAGGAAGCTGAAAATTGAACCCAGGTATTTCGATGTGGACATGGGCTTCTTTTTTTTTTTTTTTTTTTTTTTTTTTTTTTTTTGACAGGCAGAGTGGACAGTGAGAGAGAGAGACAGAGAGAAAGGTCTTCCTTTGCCGTTGGTTCACCCTCCAATGGCCGCCGCGGCCGGCGCGTTGCGGCCGGCGCACCGCGCTGATCCAATGGCAGGAGCCAGGAACCAGGTGCTTTTCCTGGTCTCCCATGGGGTGCAGGGCCCAAGCACCTGGGCCATCCTCCACTGCACTCCCGGGCCACAGCAGAGGGCTGGCCTGGAAGAGGGGCAACCGGGACAGAATCCGGCGCCCCAACCGGGACTAGAACCCGGTGTGCCGGCGCCGCTAGGCGGAGGATTAGCCTAGTGAGCCGCGGCGCCGGCCGACATGGGCTTCTTAACTACTAGGCTAAGCACCAGTTCCTTACTGCAATTTTGATAGGCAATAACAAAACAGCCCCTGTATTGTTATGTATATTTGAAGCAGACCTATTGCCTTGTAATTAGGACTCTCCGATTGCTATAATGAAGCTTCCCTTAAAGACTGTTTCAGGGTGGGCATTTAGGCTAGAGGTTAAGATGCCCACATTCCAAATTGGAAGACTTGGGTTTGACTACCAGCTCTGCCTCCTGACGCCACGTCCTACCAATGCAGACCCTGCGAGGCAGCAGTGCTGGCTCAAGTGACTGGGTTCCTGCTTTCCACATGGGAGAACTGGATTGTGTTGCTGGTTCCCAATAGCCTTGGCTATTGTGGGCATTTAGAGGGTAAAACCAGTGGATGGGAGCTTTCTCTGCTTCTCAAATCAGTTTAAAGCTTTTTTTTTTTTAAGATTTATTTATTTGAAAGTCGAAGTTACACAGAAAGAGGAGAGGCAGAGAGAGAGAGAGAGGTGTTCTTTCCGCTGCTTCACACCCCAGTTGGCTGCTGCGGCTGGAACTGTGCTGATCCGAAGCCAGGAGCCAGGAGCTTCTTCCAGGTCTCCCACGTGGGTGCAGGGGCCCAAGGCATTGGGCCATCTTCTACTGCTTTCCCAGGCCACAGCAGAGATAAAGCATCTTTTTGAACTATCAGCAGTCTGGTGATGCTGTTCCTCTGTCCTGCCAGCCTTTACCTCTTAGATTCTTAAGAGAATGGATTTCTGTTATGCACATATTGGTAACCCAAACACAGAGTGATCCCCTGAGTAATATTAGAGAATAGTCTTAGTGTCCCCTTGCTGAAGTTTTCTTAAATCAGAATAAAATGAGGCTTCATTTAAACAGTAAGACTGGAACGTTTTTCTCTTGCTCTAACAGCCAGTCCTATCCAGTTGGTAACTATAGTTATAATGCCATAAATTAGCCAGTCATAGGAATGTAAAGAGAGAGAACTGTAAGACACTGGCTTAAGATTTCGAATACTCTTACCTCTTAAGGCAAGAACCCCCCTGGAGCAGGAAGTTTTTAACCTCCTCCATAAGAACAAGCAGCCAGTGACGGATCCTTTACTGACCCCTGTGGAAAAGGCCTCTCTCAAAGCCATGAGCCTGGAAGAGGTAAGTGTCGTGGGCCCTTTGACATGCCCTGGCATGCTCTGCTTCTGCCAGCATCTGGCCTCAAGCCCAAGAATCACCGTAAGTATCATTTGTTCGCAGGCTAAGATGCGCCGAGCAGAGCTTCAGCGGGCCCGAGCGCTACAGTCCTACTATGAGGCCAGAGCTCGAAGAGAAAAGAAAATCAAAAGCAAAAAGTAAGGAGGCCTTTAGTTCTAATAAAGTGCTGTGCCGTGACTAATCATGAGTTCTTTGGAGACAAACTTTGATGCGGTGGTCCAGTTTGGGGCTCTGTAAAAGAGGTCTCAAATAGGAGCGACTAGCTCTTTTTTCCCCAAATGTTCATGTGGTTTTGCCTATCTCAGTAATGCCCTCTCCTTCAACTGTGCTTTAATTCTTGGTCTTGCCATTTTTTTTTTTTTTAAGATTTATTGATTTATTTGACAGTTAAAGAGAGATATCCTTTTTTTTGAGGTTTTGTTTTTTTGTTTTGTTTTGTTTTGTTTTGTTTTGTTTTTTGACAGGCAGAGTGGACAGTGAGAGAGAGAGACAGAGAGAAAGGGCTTCCATTTGCCGTTGGTTCACCCTCCAATGGCTGCCACGGCCGGCGCACCGCGCTGATCCGAAGGCAGGAGCCAGGTGCTTCTCCTGGTCTCCCATGGGGTGCAGGGCCCAAGCACTTGGGCCATCCTCCACTGCACTCCCGGGCCATAGCAGAGGGCTGGCCTGGAAGAGGGGCAACCGGGACAGAATCCGGCACCCTGACCGGGACTAGAACCTGGTGTGCCAGCGCCGCAGGCAGAGGATTAGCCTATTGAGCCGCTGCGCTGGCCAAGTGTTTTTTAAAGATTTATTTTATTTATTTGAAAGAGTTACAGAGAAAGGTAGAGACAGAGAGAGAGGTCTTCCATCCGCTTGTCCACTCCCCAGATGGCCGCAATGGCTGAAGCTGCGCCGATCCAAAGCCAGGAGCTTCTTCCTGGTCTCCCACCTGGGTGCAGGGGCCCAACGACATAGGCCATCTTCTACTGCTATCCCAGGCCATAGCAGAGAGCTGGATTGGAAGAGGAGCAGCTGGGATTAGAACTGGCGCCCATATGGGACGCCAGCGCCACAGGCACCAGCCCTGAGAGAAGTATCTTCTATCCACTTGTTGACACACACACACCCTCCCCCTCCCCCCGCCAAATGGCTGCAACAGCCAGGGCTGAATCATTCCAAATTCAGGAGCCAGAAGCTTCATTTGGGTCTCCCATGTGGGTGCAGGGGCCCAAAGACTTGGGCCATCTCCCACTGCTTTTTCCAGGGGAGCTCAGAAGTGGAGCAGCCAGAACTTGAACCACCACCCATATGGGATGTTGGCATTGCAGGTGGTGGCTTTACCTATTATGCCACAACACCAGCTCCTGTAATTCTTGCCTTACTTTCTCTCTTTCAAGACTGCAGAATGAGTTGTGAGTTCCATAGTTAGTAAGGCCAGTAGGGCTTCCTACCTGCTTTTTTAGATTTTTGGAACTGGTTCTACTTCTTACTTGGGCTTTGCATGGGTGTGTCCCTGGGGGCTATAGGGACCAACAGTCCTGGCATCCCTCAACCCACTCCCTCTCCCATAGTCAGCTAGCTCTAGGATGTCCATTTTAGCCCTTGCATAGGGAAACCCTTTCAGTAATATGGGCACTCTTCTATGCATGGCATCAATGCTTCAGTTAAATCTCCAAACTCTTCCCTCCTACCCCTCTGCATGTCTACAGATATCACAAAATTGTGAGGAAAGGAAAAGCCAAGAAAGCGCTCAAAGAGTTTGAACAACTGCGGAAGGTTAATCCAATTGCTGCATTGGAAGAACTGGAAAAAATGGAAAAGGCCAGAATGATGGTGAGGTTGCCTCTTGACCCCACCCCCTTAGAACCCACGTTCCCTGGAAGGAACTAAGGAGATCACTCTGTTCTTTATTTTCAGGAACGAATGAGCCTTAAGCACCAGAACAGTGGAAAATGGGCCAAGTCAAAGGCAATTATGGCCAAATACGACCTGGAGGTAAGACAACATTCAGAGTGAAACTGGAGGAAAGAAAGGCAAGCCAGTATAGAAGGGTGCTAGCAGAAGCAGAGGTGGAAAAGAACCATGAGGATGAATGGGAAACCAGAACATCCCAAAAAGCATCAGAGAAGGAGATATGAAAGGGAGACAGCATCGGAGGCCAAGTCCAGTGGTATATGTACAGCATCGGAGGCCAAGTCCGGTGGTATATGCACAGCATAAACAGGCGATACCAGAAAGAAATACTTAAGTCGAATCGAGGGGAGGCGGCTTTTAAAAACAGACTGGGAAAAGGGTGTTGTGGTCACTAATAACAGGGTTCCGTGCTGTGCCTCCCTTCTCCAGGCTCGCCAAGCTATGCAGGAGCAGTTAGCCAAGAACAAAGAACTGACACAGAAACTCCAGGCAGCCTCCATGAGTGAGGAGGAGGAGGGGGGTGCCGAAGAAGAGGAAGAACTTGTCCCTGATGCAGTGAATGAGGTGCAGATGAGTGCAGACGGACCAAATCCCTGGATGCTCAGGGCTTGCGCCAGTGACGCAAGAGAGCCTGGAACTCAGCAGGACCCTGAACAACAACAGCCTCAGCCTGGGGCCCCTGAGAGTGCTGAAAGTGAAGAAGATGAAAGGCCGGTGCCGGAGGAAGAAACTTTGTTGAAAGAATTCGAAGAAAGGAGGTCCCTTAGGAAAAGGGCTGAGCCAGCTTCCGGTCAGGAAGCCAGAGGTGAGCTGGGAAGAAATGCGAGGGAGGGCTGCTTCGTGCTGTGGACGCCCCGTGAGAGAACAGGGCCCAGCCACACCCGCTGCACCGGGACGGTGAGGCCGCTCTGGGGACTCGTCCTTGAACAGCAGTCAGGCTCACAGTAGCCATTTTCTCTAAAAGCAGTCCTCTGGGTGTACAATATGTTCAGGCGGATTTTCTGCCTGTCCTCAGACATGACGAGACTCTCTTTTAAGGGCGGATGTGACTAGGATCCTGGGTGCTGCTCAAAACTCACAGATGTGCCTCTGGTGGGAGAGCAGATCTGAAAAGCTGCCTGCATCTATAGGCACATCTAGGTGCGCTGAGAGACATTATGAAATGGCTCCAAATTGCTGGAGCTTGTCATTTTGATTGTAAAGCAGGAGTGGCACTTTTAGCACTTCATAGCGCTAGGCCACACAGCATGAACCTTTACAGAAACAAAGGGCTACATGGCGAATTAGAATTGTGACTTCACACTCAGACTCTGTATGTTGTATGTTCTACCTGGTATCTTAAAGAGATTCTATACCAACAATGTTTGTATCCTTGAGACTTAGCAGGATTCCTATTCTGGGGATAAAGCAGGACATTTTCAAGCCTGCTTAGGAAACTGCCTGCATTCAGAAATCACCTGGCCATCTGGCTGAATTCTCAGGTCTGATGTGATTTCCTGTAGGAACCAAGGGATGTAGATGACAGCAATAACCTGTTTTACATGGCAAAATGGTGTTTTTAAAAGACATGTTATTTAGAAGGTTCATACAGGGGAATTAAGCCACAGCCCTAATTATTCAGTGTGTCATTGGCAGAGCTGGGAATAGGAGCCAGGAGGTCTGCTTCCCAGCATTCTGCTTTTAACGGCTAAATTCCATGGCCTGCATCTGAACAGGTGGTGATCAGTGAGCTCTCTAGGAGACCCAGCAAATAGAATTGTCTTGTCCCCATTTGTCCTTATTAGAATGGCTTGCATGGCACCTAGCACCCAGTGGGTGCTCAACAAATACTAACTGACAGGGCAGCTTCCAAGCCTCCTTTTCTGACAGCTTTCATCATCTCCCCTAGATTCGAGCACCCAGGAGGTGCTGTCTGAATTGAGGGCACTGTCTCAGAAACTCAACAAGGAAAACCATCAATCCAGGAAGCACAAAGTGAGTTCAGCGAAGACTGTTCTCCAGGCTGAGAGAGAGAAGCCAGCCCCTGCCTCTGCTGCAGAAGAAGAGGAACCCCTGTTGCTGCAGACACCAAGAAGGGTACAAACTCTGGAAGAGCTGGAAGAACTAGGTGAAGAAGGATGCTTTCAGAAGGAGGAGCTTCCCGGGCCTGCATTAGACGGGCAGGTGTCAGAAAGGAACCCAGATAATGAGCCAGATGCCCCTAAAGGGAAGAAAAAGAAGGAGCAAATGATTGATCTACAGAACCTGCTAACCACAGAATCACCCTCTGTGAAGTCTTTGACAGTTCCCACCACGATAGAGGAGCTGGTGAGCAGAGATGGGGTCATGGGCCCTTGCATGGAATCCAAGCTGGGGCAGAAAGTTTCCTTCTTGCACCAGGGGTAGAATCAGTGAGGCTTTGTTTTGCCGGGGACACATTTCAAGAGTTAAGAGGCCCAAAACACTATGGAACCAGGTTGGTTCCAGTGACAGTTTTAATAAGAAAGTACTTGAAAAGTTCATGGAAATGGAATTAAAAGATTAATTTTGGTGCAAAACAGTTTTGGGGCCAGTGCTGTAGCAGAGTAGGCTAAGCAGCCACCTCCAGTGCTGGCATCCCATGTGGGCACAGGTTTGAGTCTTGGTGGCTCCACTTCCTATCCAGCTCTCTGCTAATACACCTGAGAAAGCAGCGGAAGATGGCCCTACTCCTTGGGCCCCTGCACCAATGTGGGAAACCCCACGGAGTTCCAGGCTCCTGGTTTCAGCCTGGCTCAGCCATTGTGGCCATTTGCGGAGTGAGCCAGTGAATGGAACATCTCTTTCTCTGTCTCTGTAATTCTGCCTTTCAAATAAATAAATGAGATCTTTAGAGTAAAAAAAATTTTTGAAATCCATGCATACAGGGGCCTTCAAAAATAGTCTGTGGAAAATATATATTATGAAAAAACTGCACAGTTTCAAAGACTTTTGCACCAAAGTAAATATCTCTCTTAATTCTAGTTTTCCATGAATTTTAAAGTAGTCCTGTAGATGCACATGTGTGGGTGCTGCCAAGACCCCCACATCCTAAAATCCTGAACCACCAAAACTTGCCTTGTGGATTCTACAACTGCCCTCAGAGGAAAGAGGGAGCGAGTCAGCTAAAGCTCTGACCAGATCCCAGGCAGGACAAGTTACTAAAGCTTCCCTCTACTCAGCAGGATCTCAGATAGTCCAGGATGCCCCACGTACGTGTTTGAAACCGCTAGAATAAGTGGTGCCTGTCTGTTCAGGGATATGAGCTAGAGGAAGCCCACACTATGGCCAGGCCACCTGGAGCTCGTGCTAGTATCACAGGTCATTCCTTCCCCTGCCTTTCAGCATTCTTCCTGAACGCTTAAAATTGTGTCATATGGGGTGGGCATTGTGGCACAGTGGGTTAAGCTGCCTCATGCTCACATATCCCATATCCAAGTGCCTGGCATCAAATCCCAGCTCTGCTTTCTCTCCAACTTCCTACTAATGAGTCTGGGAGGCAGCAGATTATGGCCCAAGTTCTTAGGTTCCCGCCACCCACATGGGAGACGCGGATAGAATTCTTGGTTCCTGATTTGGCCTGGTCCAGCCCTGGCTGTTGCGGGCATTTGGGGAGTGAACCAGCAGATGGATGATATGTGTGTGTGCCTTTCAGATAAATAACTTAAAAAAAATAAATTTGTGTCATGATAATGAGCTAGGGACACTTAGCCTAGAACAGAGGTGGGGAAGTGTCCTGCCCCTGGCCCTGCCAAGGCAACCACAAGCAGGACTCGAAATTCCATACATCTATAGCAGGATAATTTTAAGTTGATAATTTTGTATGGCCCATGAATGGTGTTCTAAATATCCAGATGGCCCTTGGCACAAGAAAGGTTCCCCACCCCTGCCCTAGAGAGAAGAAAATTAAGAGCACGATTGGCTACCAGTTGGTTTGTATTAAAACCATCATTGTTCAGCACTTCCCCCTAGGGGGCGCTAAAATGCCACAACCCAAAATTCAAGCGTTCCAGCCATGAAGCTGTAGCTCACTCTTGTTTCTTCCCAGGAAGATGAAGAGGGGAAAGACCAAAAGCAGATAATAAAGGAAGCTTTTGCTGG